CATGTCAGTTCTATGAAATTTTCACATCGCCTTAGATTTGAATTTGGTTTCATATAATTCAAACCGTTTTGTTAACTGCAGCTATGAAATCCAAGCTTAAGACATTTGCTAAACAAGACGAAACTTGGACAGGTAAAAACCGGAGCAAATTTATGTTTTCAGATTAATCTATTCTGCAACAGTTTGTTATATGCCAAAGAAACTTTATAAAAATTCTTGGTAGGTAAGAGATTTGATGAAAAGTATACACTTCATACTACGAAACGCCTACGAAGAGAGATGATTCAAGGAACCATCTCCAAATCTGGAACAGTTGGACTCTACTTCTTGCACTCAAAAGCAATGCATATTTATGTATGAAGGTGTTCAATGCCACTGGTAAAAAGTCGTCCAGAATGTTTTTAACAGGATCGACGTAGCCGGGGAAGAGACTTCTTGCACCCAGGAACAATGCAGAATGATGCATGGTATGTGGAACTAGTGTAGGGAGAAAACTGCAACTGCATAGGCGCATTCATATTTATGTATGAAGGTGTTCAATGCCACTGGTAAAATGTCGTTCAGAATCTTTTTAACAGGATCGACGTAGCCGGAGAAGAGACAAGATCTGAATCCAATTGAAAATTTATGGGAAATACTGAAACACTGAGAGAAGCTAGCAAAGAAGTATGGACAAAAAAAAAATTGAATTTTGGAATCACGTGATTATCAGTATGTTCCGGCGCGCATCCAAACAGTTATCAAAAACAAAAGAGATCATACAAAATACTGACCTCTGGACTATTTTGATTGAAATAGAGAACATTGTTATGGACAGATCTGTAGGTAAAATTGAACCAGTCTCTCATAAATTACTTTTGTTACTGAGTTGTTTTTTTAATTTGAACATAGTAAAATTAAAAGCTGGTCTTAAACTTTTGTTAATGACTATATATGACTGTGACCCAATTTCAAGTAATGCCATCGCTTGACTTATTCTCAAATCTGCGCAGTATGGATTTGGCTTTTTTATCCTGCTAGGGACTTGCACTCTGGCAACGCAAAATTATATCAATTAATATTGAAATAATATATTTAAAGTGAGGAATGGTTTTGCTCAGATCCAATCCCATTCTCCGAAATTCTAATATATACCTCTAAAAGGAAAAAAAATTGGTCTGCATCATTGGATGCAAACGTATTATATCAGTGTTCCTTCTCCTGAAGAGACCTCTTAGCGAAGATTAGGTGTCTATCACTCACCAGTGGGTATAGTCTGGGGGCGCAAGATCCCACTTACCGTGGATTGCCTTTTGTGTACATACATACATACATGTTTCTATACCCTGTGTATGAGTTGGCAGTTGATCACATTGGAGGATCCATCCGCCTCTTGAGATACATACATGCATAATAACCATTTACTCTTTTCGGAGAATACTTGTCTGGCAGCATCCACAGAGCCCACCATTCTGGAACTACGCTGAACGGATCTTCATTACAGTTTCAGTGAAAGAGCGCATAACCTGGCGTAATCAACAGTTTGAACAAGGCTAGTACGTTCGAACGCTCAGTCACGATGACTTAGGATTCGTTCTACCATTGAGGGTATTCACACTGTTTCATATATCTAGTTTTCTTTATACGTTTTGGGTCAACTCGTGATATTGTATGGTATGGTTTTCACACACTTTCCAAAGGTGCTGCTCGCTGGGATTGCTTTCCCAGACATCAAGAAGTCTTCTCCCTGACAACTTGATCATATACATAGATATATACATACATAAAACTTGAAACGCTACAAAAAGAACTGTAGCAAATAGCAAAAAAAAAAAAAACAAAACAAAAAAACAAAAACAACCAAAAAATAGTCAATTGAGGACTTTCAATAACAGCAAAAACTAAAATGGACATCACATGTAACTCGACAAGAAAGTAATGATATAACGACCTTCCACACTACTTCAAAAAAAAAAAAAAAAAGACTGGGCAAGAAAACTCTCCTCCATTAATAGTAGAATGAGCAATTGTTAATGGGCGTGAGGAAACTATTTTCCTGAAAAATTGTTTTAATAAACTTCAACCGGTATTAACACTAGGTACATGGTATCTGAATGTCGAATGTTTCCTTATAAGGAAACAGCTAATATTATCATGAGCATTAAAGACTAAGAGAACTGATACTACACTTTGATCCCAAGGAGTAAAGAAAAGCGTAATTAGTGTAGCACTGGCTGCTCGGTAAGTAAATACTGGGTGTTTCCTTATAAGTGAACGGCTAATATTACCATTATCTATACCATTTTGGAACATATATAAAACATCTTAGAAATTTTAGACATGTTGCTAGAACATGAACTTGGCCATTTTGTATTTATCTTCCGACGACTTTATTTCAATTATGGGCTGATATGAATACGTAATTTAAATAGGATTAGTTTTTTGGTTGTACCTTATTTATGGAGTGTGTGATTTCGAGTGAGATGTAAAAATTAAACCATTCAAGGAAGTATAAAACTAATACGCCTGAAGAAATTAGTCATCAAGAATGCTTTCCGGCGAAACTGATGTATTCTCAGGATATTAACACTTTTGTTAATAGTAGTGGCCAAAGAAGAAACGTTTATGATATATATATATATATATATATATATATATATATATATATATTTGAATAAAACATACCACTTTAAAAAGGTTCCATGTAATAAATTATTTCACCACAGCCCTTTTAAAAGTGTCTTGTTCATCAGACTTTATTTTAAAGGTTGAAATGAAAAATGAAAAAAAATTTACACATTTTTTTTCATTTTTCATTTCAACCTCTGGAAGTAAAGTCTGATGATCCAGAGCCCTTTTAAAGGGTTGTGGTGAAATAATTTATTACATGGAACCTTAAAGTGGTCTGTTTTATTCAAATTCAAATTTATTTGCTCTGAATTTACATTGAGCTCTCTGGATATCATCCTCCTTGGGTCTACCCATACGGATTACCTAGTTTTGCATACACTATATATATATATATATATATATATATATATATATATATATATATATATATATATATATATATATATAATACGACTACTTGCTAATTATTAATAGTAATGAGAATACTTTTTAAAACTTATTTTGAAATTCTACAATTATTATTTTTTTTAGTTTTAATTTCATAAATAAATATGTTTATAGGACTGCGCATACATACATACATACATACATATATATATATATATATATATATATATATATATACATTTATTTATCTATTATTACACACACACGTATATATATATATATATATATATATATATATATATATATATATACATTTATTTATCTATTATTACACACACGTATATATATATATATATATATATATATATATATATATATAAAGTGGACATTGAAGTCAACACCCATAGACAACAGTCTGTTTCATGCTTAAACGCAATCGTCATGCTATCACATAAATAAATGGAAATATATAAACTCGTTTATTAATTTAATCGCACGTCCACTCGTCTGAAATGTGACACAAGGTCGAATTTAAAATGAGTTGGTACCTGATGGTTGGTACCTGATGGTTGGTACCTGATTGGTTAAAGACTTTATTGTTTATTTATTTTCACATTTCGTGTATATAAAATTCCTTTGATGAAAATCCGTAGAAATACATTGCAACGGTAAATGCAATATTAAAAAATCATAATGGCCATTATAAATAGAACAGGTTTTCAATACTTCTTTCGATTCTTGGGTTTGGTTGTCAGTAATAATATTATTTTTATAAATTTCTTTTCTTAGACGAAGAATCAACAATAATTACACATTTTTCAACGTGTATTTCCATTCATCTTAATTTCATTTGATTTTTATTGTAACGCTGAGAACTTCAGACTAAAGCTGTTGGTAAGCAATTCTCGTCGGACATAAAGTATATTATAATATAAAACCTCTCTTTTCCTTCTTCCTACTGAACAAGCCATGGAGACCTTCAAGCTGTAAGAAAGCAAATCTAATGTAACTGTTTTATGTGTTTTATTACCCAATGAAAGAAATATTAGTTAATAATAGAATTAATAATAACTACTGAAGAAAAAACACTCCATTGCATACCTTTCCATATAGGTGACAAAATGTTTGGAAGAAAAGTAATAAAGATTAAAAAATAGAAAAAAGAATTTCTGTCTCCCTCTTCCTCCCCCATTCTCTCTCTCTCCCCTATACATACTCTTTTCTCTCTCTCTACATATATATATATATATATATATATATATATATATATATATATATATGTATATATATATATATATATATATATATATATATATATATATATATATATATATATGTATATGTATATATATATATATATATATATACATATAACTTTTCTCTCTCCCTCTCTTTTACTCTCTCTCTATATATATATATAAATAAATATACCCTTTCTCTCTCCATTCTTTTCCCCTTCTTTCTCTCTCTCTCTCTCTATATATATATATATATATATATATATATATATAGAGAGAGAGAGAGAGAGAGAGAAACAAAGAGAACTGGACATAAATAGGCCAAAGACATTGGGAAAAGGGAGTTTTAAAGATGATGACAAAAAAAATGAGCAATACAAAAAATTATTAGCGGCAATTTGTTTGAATACTGAGATGGAAAAACATCAAAAAATGAGACAAATGAATTATTTTAGGTGATGCATGTGTGTAAGGGAGAGGTAAACGTCGTTATAGGTATCGCCGATTTTGAGAAATAGATGGTGACTGGAAGCTAAGATGGCGGTGTAACAGTAAAAATCTCAAGAAGGCAAGTAGATCAAGATCATAGATTTTGACAATCACTTTTTGAAAACCAGGAAGACAAAACTGTCTATATATATGTCTGGCTGTGTTTGTATATATATATATATATATATATATATATATATATATATATATATATATATATGCAGGTTGTGATAGATGGATAAATGCATCAATTGATTGACTGATACAATGATACAATTAATATATATATATATATATATATATATATATATATATATATATATATGAGATAGATAGATAGATAGATAGATAGATAGATAGATAGATAGATAGATAGATAGATAGATAGATACGGAACAAGAAAATAAAGATTATTTTTCGTGAAATGATGATAGATATAGATAGAAATACGGGCAAGGATATTAGAAAAGAGAGAAAAAAAAGAACATGGGAAATAAAAAAAAATGGCTAAAAATAAAAAGTTCATTTGTATAAAAATCTTAGAAGTATGAAAAATACGAGATGTTTTGGATCCAATTCAAGGAAAGTGAACAAGTTAGAAAGAGACATTTAGTTATGAAATAAGAGAGAGATGTTTGGTGTGTGATGTAGAGATAAATATTGCATGGATATTTTTGTAAGAAAGGTGAGGGAAGTCAATAATAATAATAATAATAATAATAAGAAGAAGAAGAAGAAGAAGAAGAGGAAGAAGAAGAAGAAGAAACGGATCAAGCGTAGGAGGGAAGGGAGGATAAATTAGGGGAAGACAATATTAATGTAAAGTAGTCCTATAAAGAACGATAGATACAAATAAAACAGGTGACAAAGAATAATTTGAAATTGATAGAGAAAAAGATAGAGGAATAAAGAGAGAAAGAGAGTAAAAAAAAAACTGAGAGAATGAGGCTGAGTGACTGTATATGAGAGAGAGTGTGTGGAGAGAAGGAGAACGGAAGAGACTTACAAACAGGAGAGAGTAAAGGAAAGTGTAAAGAAAATTAAAATGAACATGAGAAAAAACTTTAAGGAATATGTTTAATTGCGGAAAGAAGAAAGCATGAAATTGGTGGCGGGGAAGAAAAGAAAATGATAAAAAGTATAAGAAGCAAAAAAAAAAAAAAACAGAAAAAAATGAAAGACCAATAAATAAAGATAAAAAGAGAATGCTTTGGGATAAAAAAATCTCGTAGTATATTGGGTGTGAGAAAAAAATAGATGGATACATTGGATACGTATTCAAAAAAAGAGTTAATGATAAAGAAGTCTACAAGAAGACAGACTCTATCGTTGAGTGGCGACAGGAAAGAAAGATAATAAATAGGAAACAAAATGGAGAGCCCCCCACACACACACACAGATGCATACACACTAAGAAAGAGAGAGAAAACTAGAGAGAGCGGAGATTATATTGACGAATATTTCTTTAAGATACGAAGTTAGGTAACGGTGAAATGACAGTGAAAAAAATAGAATGGAAAATGAGTATGTAGAAGAAAGAAAGAAAGAAAGAAAGAAAGAAAGGAAGAAAGGAAGAAAGAAAGAAAGAAAGAAAGAAAGAAAGAAAGAAAGAAAAGAAAGAAGCATGAAGAGACAGAAAGACAGACAGAAAGAAAGAACTAAAGTAAGGAAGGAAAGAAAAACTAAAGAAAGAAAGAAAGAAAGAAAGAAGGAACGAAAGAAAGAAAGAAGTAATGAATGAATGGGAAATATGTAAAAGTTCTTTCCTTCCAGCCTTCTATATATTATACCGCCTTTCAATATAACATTATATATGATATAATAAAAAAAAAAAGAAAAAAATTGCTAGCACGTCATCATCGTCATCGTTGTACCTCACGGGCGCGTGTGGAAGTAGTGGATGGGGTGTTGCAAGGCCCCGGGGATGTGAATGAAGTAGGTGGGGGTTTTACTGGAGCCCTGAAGGGTGGGGCAGGGGTCTGAGTTGGGACGACGTCGGCCCAAACATGAACCATATCGCTTACGACGTTTTCTAGACACAGTGACAGTTCGAATTGGATCACGCCCAGTTAGGTTCGAGGGAAGTTTGGCTAGGCGTTGGGCCGGGGTCTGACGGTGACTGGGAGTTTTTGGTGGAAAGGATTTGGTAGGATGTTGGGGGTGTAGACAGGGGTGAAATGCTAAAGCCACTAGTAGTAGTAGTGGTAGTAGTGATGGAAGTAATAGTAGTATGAATATTTGAAAGTATAGAAAGAATTAAAGAAGCAATTTGGAAGGGTGGGGAGGGGACTGGTAGTCAGGGTTAGGCTGAGGATTCTGACGGAGTCGACGAAAGTGGAGTGGGTGTGGAGTAGGCACTGGCGGTCGAGTTGATGTTGAAGAAGAGAGAGGATTTTCTATCGTCTTTTTTTCTTCTTTATTCTTTTTGGTAATGTTCTAAGCGACGTGGAAAGAAAATTATAGGAAGGAAAAATAAGGAAAAAAAGAAAAGAAAAAAGAAAAGAAAAAAGAAAAGAAAACTGAAGGTAAAAAGAAATCGGTGGTGTTTTTTATCGGAAAGAAGTGTATATAGGAAGCGAAGTGGGATGATGAAGGTCGGGGCGATTTGTCAAAGTTTGTGGGTGAAGGCATTAAGATTTACTTTGGGTAGGTCCTGGTTGTTTGCGAGTTGATGTAGTAAGGGAAGCTAGATAGGAAGAGTATGACTATTGGAAATATGGGGAAAGGGGTATGGAGTATTTTGGTATTGAGATTGTTCCAATTTATTTATTTATTTTCTTTTCCATAGCGCCATGTCCTCAGAAACTTGAAAAGAAAGCGAAAGGAAGTTGCATAGGTAAAAACAAATACGATATAAAAAAAAAAAAGAAAAAAGTTGGTATTGGTGAGTTAGTGACTGAAAATTATTATTATTATCATCATCATTATTATTATTATGATGATGATGATGATGATGAACATTGTTAAAGATTCGTGGCGGTCTTTATGTACAAGATGGCAGTGGTGATCTGTATCAGTCGATAATGATGGCTGTATTGATGATGCTGATGATAGAGTTATGAAAGAAGAGAAAATACTGTGATTATCAGACAAGTTGATTATGGTGGTGATGATGTCAGCAATGATGATTGGATTGAAAGAGGGACGGCTTCGGTAGCAATGGCACTGATGGCGGTGGCGGCGGTGGCGGCGGTGGCGGCGGTGGCGGCGGTGGCGGCGGTGGTGCTGGTGCTGGTGGTGGCGGCGGGGGTGGTAGCGATGATGGCGAGGTGGCAAGGTTGACAGCAAATGTGGCTGTGATGGCGGCGACAGAAACGACAGGGAGATGAATGCGATTTCTGGATAGTTTTCATTCGACATCTCTTGTACAGAATTACAAATAAAGGATTTTCAGTGACACTAAAAAGTTCTTACAGAAAGGTGCACACGCACACACACACATACACATACACAGAGACGTGCGTGCGCAAACACACAGATACATGCACATACGCATATACAATCATATATAAATATAATATAAAGTAGCGGACACTGAGTGCTGATGGCAGTAAAAGAGTGCTCGATGTATAAAAAAAGAGTGCTCGATGTATAAAAAAAGAGTGCTCGATGTATAAAAACAGAGATAAAATTTATACTAGCAATAAATATACATTTTGGTCCTCATCGATAACACAACACTGAGTCTCCTGCACAATGCAATCGATAGGATCTGACGATTGTATCGCACAGGAAACCCAATGTTGTGTTATCGATGAGGAACAAAATTATATATATATATATATATATATGTATATAAATAAAAAGAAAGAACAGTAAGATATTTAGCTTCTATTTTTGAAACATGGTTGGAACTGTGTAGCGAAAATAACCATATTTTAAATCAATTAATTTATAATATATATATATATATATATATATATATATATATAGAGAGAGAGAGAGAGAGAAGAGAAATACAAATATGAAATTTATCACTTATCTGATTGATTTTATATTTAGCACCCCGACTCCAGAGTTTCGTACACGGACTTTTTAGCAATCGTTCTGTTCACTTTTCAGGAGGATCCGTCTACGAAACTCTAGAGTCGGGGAGCTGAAAATAACATAAATCAGCTAAGTGACAAATTTCATATTTGTGTTAATCCTGTTAATGTGCTGTCTCTGATATCGAGAACTTTATTACGAAAACTTAAAGCTTGTCTTAACTGTCCTTACTTTCAAGCTTCCACTGACTGACAGCATTTATGGCTTTACACTATGTTATCGTTGTAATAAAGACAAAATGAAAACTTATCTTAACCGTAGTGTTTCGTCCTCTGATGGACTTTATCAAGGCAAATATAAGGATTCTATTTTGAAACATGTATTTTTATACAAAAAAGTAAAATTGACGTTACTTACAAAATAATTACACTCACATCCTGAACTATTACCAAATATCTCCTTTTCCCGAAAGAAGTGTTCCATTTCCAAGCTGACATACATGACTATAAAAATGTTAAAAGATTAAAACTAAACAGTTAATTTCATGACCGTAATTATTTAAAATATATAATACATTACTATATTAATTCCAAACTAAAATATTATGAATAATAAATTCTATTATATAAAAAATACAAACATTTACTCACTTTGTTTATTAGACATTAAATTACGTCACATAACATCCTCCATAATTTATCTTAACTTTTTAACCTGATGAAAATTTGAGTGTCACTTAAATTTAAAGAATTTAGAAAAATTGCGACATTTATTCTTTTGTTTATAAATACTTGTTGCTAAATATGTCTTTATTTTAAATTTTACACACACACACACACACACACACACACACACACACACACACACACACACACACACACACACACACACACACACACACACACACACACATTTATATAATAGCTGAGATATCCAGCCCATGTCAAAACTTGTCTTGATGCTGATAAAACATTCCCTTGTTCTTGAAAAGTAGTTGCACATCTCTTGTTATCTGTTATGGGACCTTACCCATAATAACATAATGGACTATTCCATACGTAATAAATACTGCGCCTCAAGAGGAAGCAGGGAGTTCAGCCTGAAGTCAGGCGACCGGCTGATTGGCTGATCGGTTGAACTCTCTGCCTTCGGGCGGGGAGTAACCCGAACGAGGCTACGCCGAAGGGCGGAGTCTCTTTCGGGGAGGTAAACCGACCCTGAACCCGTTTATACGGGTTCAAAAGGCATATTTTTGGCCGAGCCCACGGGCTCGGAGATCCCACGTTAAACCGGCCTTGTGCCACATGATGCACTCGTTGGGGGGGGGTTTGACTAAATACTCCTCAGTCTGAAGTCTGGAGTGAAGTCCGCCAGGAGTCTGTCAGTCAGTCAGTCAGAGCGAGCGAGCGAGTCAGTCAGTCGAGTCAGAGGCAGTCCGAAACAGTCGCGTTCAGACAATTACTACTAAACCTGATTGTCCGTACTAACACTTTCTACTTCTCTGTATATATTCCTGTTTGTAATATATCTGTGTTATTCCATATCCGTGTTCGAGTCTTCTTTATTGGTTCTACCTTAGACTATCACCGTGGTACAAGGAACCGGACCATAACATTATCAAAGAGTGAGGAAAAATAATCATAACTAAGAAATGTTATTTCTATAAACGTTAATTTTAGTAGGTACATATGTTTGAGTTGACACCTCTATCTTTTTTTTAAAAATGAAATTAATATCAACCAGCTTAGATCGAGAAGTCATATATATTTTACAGTCTTTGTTGTCAATTAAAAAATGTTATTATCATTGATAACTTGTTTCAGAAACAATGGTCTTAGATACTGACGTCAGTTTTGTTTATACCAGTCGCGTTAAAAAAAATTCAATTTGTTTCTGCTCTAAAGTAGAAAAGATATATTCAATGAAAAGGATTTTTCAAAGCTCACAAATATTTTTCATGTATCGGATATTAATATGAAATATAATATTACACCAAAGGATTACAAACGGTAAATATTACTGTGAAAAATAAATCCATATATCAGAAAAGTGCCCCTAATAATTATTCATAGTCTGCTGAGTCTTTTGATATGTAACCGCTACACTTTCCTCATTGGTAAAACGAGCTACTTTGCGTAGATTTGTGCAGACGTGCTGGCATTCTGAGTTGACTGACTACGACCAGCTGCAAAGTGTTGTATATTTTATTTACTTTTTTTTAGAGGATTCAATATTGAAGCTCTTTGAATTTTCTCAAACCAACAACAAATCGTTGAAAATTATCTAATCTTATTTTACATCTGGCAGCGTTTTTCTTTTAATGCAAACTTTGAATATAAAGGTAAACTATGGAAGAGGCTAAGTGAGGTAATTTAAGGTTTAATAAACGAAAATGAGTAAATATAATAAGCAAAAAGGGGAAATAATGTTAACTTTGTTGCTTTCTTATTTTTTATTATTTGTCTATATATATGTGTGTGTATGTAGGTATGTGTATATATATATATATATATATATATATATATATATATATATATATATATATATATATATATACCCTTTGTTTTTATCAATGTCATTATTATAAATTTCATTATATTTATATAAATTATTTATGTACTTATTTATTTTAGATAATAGAAGGTTTTGTTTTAACCGTTTTTTTTTCATTTTTAAAAAAAATTGATGGTCAAGTTTATCTTTTACGAAAGGAGATATTTGAAAAATATCTGAGGCGCAGGTTTATATTTTGGTAAACTATGATAGCAGTAGTCTCAAGAACTTTCCATCTAAGTAAATTATCTTCTCTTCTAATTAGTGTCATATTTTTATATGGAAATTGTTGTTGATCTTATTTCTATGTATGACTAATGCATTTGCTAAATCGTTATGTATAAAACTATTTTTGCTAACATAGAAACATTTTTTAAAGAATTCTACAAGTTTCTCCAATATATTGCAAGGAATTGTTCTGGAAGTTTGTTTTATATATATCTACTTCATAATTATTATTGTTATGTACAATTTTGGTTCCAAACTGCTGAACGGTTACAATATAATTTATAACAACATCATAAATAAGTAAGTAAATAAATAAATAATAATAATAACCACAAAAACTTTCTTATTAACATGGCAGTCCCTGTAGATTGTAATGTATTATTGAAGATCTTCAAAAACTATCAAAATACAAAGATCTTGAAATGGAAATAACATAAATGTGGCAGATGATGGCATTAATAATACTACTTGTAGTTGGAGCCCTCGGATTGATAGGAATAAAGAATACGGCATCACTTACAACGCATGTCTTAAAGAAATACCAAAAATTGTACTCGCAAGTAAAGCTTACATATTACGTAAAGCTTTGTCTATGTAAAAATGCTTAGTTTTTTTTTGTTTTTTTTTACAAAAAATGATCATTGGAAAATTTCTAATCTTAGGTTTCTGGTTGGGTCCCAGAAGGAAATGTGTATACAACAGAAATCAAAGGAAATAATAATAATAATAATAATAATAATAATAATAATATATAAAAAAAATGTGGAAATTGAAAACAAGAATAATACCAGTGGTAATAGGTGCACTTGGAATTATAAAAATGGAACAAAACAACACATTGAAAGAATCCCTGAAACCCCAGCTTAAGAGACATACAGAAAATTGTCTTATTAAGTACAGCACACACACTAAGGAGAACTTTGTCTATGTAACGCTAGCAACTTCATCGGAGATAAAAAAAAAAAAAAAAAAAAAAAAAAACATGAAATGTGGCCATAACAACACACCACGACCTGCCTTAGGTCTTTCCGCAGACTTGGTAGGTAGTGTGTCCATAGCAGAAATCGAATGATGATGATGATAATAATAATAAGCAAGATCTACAACTATACAACTAAGATAAAACAGAAGTGGAAATACCAAAGTAAGAGAGGAAAAACGCAAAAAATATTAACCTAACTAATCTGAAAACCAAACTGGGAGAAGAACCCAAACATGGCTGATATCCATTTCTGGCAAGAACCGTATTGTTGACAAAAATCTGATCCATCAGTGATTTTGTAGCTGTGGATGGAAATAGAAGTATTCATTCCGCTGCTCATGATTAAAAAAAAAGGAAGAAAATTGACAACAAGATACCAGCAGTCATCTATTTTAATGAATAGGACATATACTTGGTACAAATGCAGTGGAAACTATTGACTAAAATTTGGGTGCTCTCCTAAATGAATTTAAATATAGAGATGAAAGGAAGGTATATACTTGAATAGAGAGATATGCCAACATTATAACCTTCATGCAGTAAAATGGATTAAACATAAATCACGACCAGTGCCAGAAGGTGAAAATGTTATTGGGATCTGGGACGTCAT